AGATTTTGAGGACAAACAGCCAAAAGGTTGGGAGCATTGTAACTTTGTTCTCATCCTAAATCCAAAACACAGCACTGTACCAGCTACTAGGAAGGAAATTAACTCTATCCCAGCCAAAACCAGGACAATGAAGCATAAGGTTTCAGCATACAGAGGCTTAGTAGCATGAGTAGTATGCGCGTTCAGAAGGTGACTGCAGAGGCCGGTGAGGACATCTGGCTATGTGTATTTCTGGAACAACCAGGGAAGTTGGGCTGGAGAAAATGCTTAGGATAGATGTGGTTATGTTCAAAGTTAGCAGAGGTCATTGACCTGAAGTATCATCTCGATCCATAAGGGGGCATAGGTCTCACTTGGAGATTAACCCTGGGAGGAGTCACCTGGGAAACCCTGCAACTGTTTAAAAGACCATGGCTAAGGCTGATGGCAGCATTACAGTCCAGGTCAGCAAAGGCCAACGAACTGGGGCACTGGCTGTGCTCAAAGGAGGCTACCAGGAAAAGATGCACAAGAGACAACCAATTAACTTTAGCTTCAGATTGGAGGTGTATTTTAGAGTAAAGGTAGTTGACAGAAAGCTGAGATTTGAGCATGAATGCTAGGATTTAGAACAGAAAAGGCCATTCATCTAATGTAATTATTTATTTTAGAAAGCACGTGCAAGGTAACTGGAGCTTAGTCAGTTAAATGACTTGTCTGCATTTGCTTCTGAGGATGAAAATTACAGTTCACGGAATTAATGCTATGGCAAAGGTTTGTCTAGGATTGAGTTTATAGTTGGAGCTAGGATGATACTTGTTTGGAAAGGTAGTAGCTTATGTAACTTGAGAAGAGGCGGTGATAGGAGCCAGTTAAGTACGCATACATAGTCCAAGCTGAGAGGGGTACCTGTTTTATTACAATTAGGACTAAGAGGCAAGTTAGGCAGTGCAAGTGAATTCTGGGCAAAATAAGGGCAATTATGATTTCACCTACATCCAAAAATAGCCCCCCAAGTTAAGCCAGAGAAGTGTTTAAACCTTTAAGAATACTTTTAATTCTGGGTAAAGGAAGTTAGAGATAGTTTTCAGTTTATAGCACCAGCAAATGGGAAGGAAATAGAATAACTTTTTATATAATTGCAACTAGGCTAATATAAGAATACTGATCACATTAAGGATACATCTCAACTAGAATTTTTAAAAAGAAAAACAAACCACACCCACAAACCAAGAAACCTCCAGGTCTCAGGGTCTCAGTCAGAACTAATTGATCAAAAATGGCCTTAAAATGAAGTTTCTGCCTAGCTACACCCAAAGCCACCTAAACCAGTCCCAGCACTGCATGTCAGAGAGTAGTTCACACCAGCCCTGATCTCATACTAGACTCTAACTTGTTTCTTTTACTAACATTTACCCAACTGTCTCTTTCAAAAATGATCCCACAGAGCAGCTATCAAGGCCCAGGTATTGGTATCCGAGCAATGTACAACAGCTGTCTTTCTAGCCCAGCCATCTCTGTCATCCTCTGAATTGCATGTAGGCAAACAGAATAGCAGTATTTGAATGTTTAGACATTCAGAAGTTGGGACTAGATTTAGATTTAGGATGAGGCTTCCATGAGCTGAAAAGCAGGAGTATGGTCTGGTCTGGTAGACCCTGTACTAATTTGGGGACTGGTGCTTGCAAAGGGCCACCAAGATACTTTCATATAAGAAGCTGTGGAGGTAAAATCATAGTAGCACCTTTAAAGAACATTCAGAAGATTTCAATCAGGCAGCAGAAGAGCCTGTTTATGCACTACACAAAAATGTAAGGAGTGACAGGAGCAGAAGGCATAGCTTTCAGCTCTCCCCACCACAGAGGTGGTTTTCCCCCCTAGAAAGGGTATGGCTTCACTTGCTGACTGTCTGTCCCCTTCCCACAGAAGCCTGCACTTCTTCCCGGAGAGCCTCACCACCCCAACTTGCCCAACTGCAGGGCACCTAGGTCTCTCCTGTGGGATTGGAAAGGACAGCTTTGAACACTGTAAAATCTCCAGACATTTGCATGTTTCATCAGGCAACAAGCTCTGTTCCATTTCATCTGATACTAATATCACCTTGAGAGCAGCATAAGGAGTCAAAAAAAAAAAAAAAAGTCTTACGTTCCTAAAACCCCTACTTAAAGCAAATACACTTGTACTATCAACTATCAGACAGGGTGATCACTTTTATTTTTTTAACTTATCTCTTTTTCTTAGAAGCCAAACTCGATGAATACTGAAATAAATATTGTCACAGTCTTGCAAATAAAGTCTTCGAGTTTGTTTTTTTCTGTCATTCTCTTGAAAGAATCCTCCCTCAATCCACAGTCACATACAATGCTACACAAAAATCAAAGGCACTTACTCATACCAGTTTTGGGGTATCATGTTTTGGTTTGTGGATGAGTTTTGAAAAAAAAAAAAATCTTTACAGAAAATGAAAACGTCATGTGCAAAGGTTGTCTGCATTTTGAAGTGTTCGCTCAGCTCTCTGAAAATGTCTGTTAATTACACAATAGATTTCAACATTTGTGGAGGTTAATGCTTCCTCGCAAGTTATCTACCAAATAAACCATCTTTCCCAAGTTTCACTTTCAATTCACCCAACCAAAGAATGCCTAAACCAATTCTGATGGTTTCCAATCAGTTCTGCAACAGAACAAAATAGTGAATTATCGATGTTTGGATGAATTTTTACTCTGATACTGTGTTCAGAATTACTCAGGTAGTTAGCACACTTGTTAAAATTAATAACTGATTGTAAATAACGTAACCAAGGGATATATCACTACTATTCTTCCATGACGGATGAACAATGCATAGTTAGATCCAGCCAAATGAATCAAGACAAGGGGCGGGGGGGGGGGGGGTTTTTTGGGGGGGGGGGAGATTTAAAAATTGACCAAGATCTCTCTTGCCCAACTTTATCAACGTGAAAAGTACAACAAAAGAATTATAAAAGGAAATGAAGCTTAATAAAACATATGGATCATGTTACCTTTTGTAAACGGGCATTGATCCTGAAGCCACTTCCGTCTGACCTGATAAACAAATCCCCTAGAAACAAATCTACAAGAAGAAAAACTAGTTCCCTATACCAGCATTCAGTAAGGAGGCTTTAAAAGAGAAAACACTACTGCTAAGCGTTGTATCAGTTAATCAAGCACTTGTTGAAAATTTTACTTAATTGCGTATGAAAAGGATGTGACATACTGGAAGTTGGTAAATCTTCATCTGGCTACCTTGGTAAGTTTAATCATATACACTAATTTTTCTGCATGTGTGGCATATTTCTGCACTTTTTTTAACAATGTATTTTCTTTACAAATATTTTGCTGCTGAGAGATTCTACTCATAAAAGTAACTCATAAGTACTCATAAAGAAACTCATAATTTTCAACTTATTTAACAAAAAAAAAGCTTGGTAAACTGAAAAGCAAATAAACAAAATCATATTTTTAATATAAGAATTCCATTAAAAGATGTCTTTAATCTTTTCTATTTCTGCAACAGAACTCTATTCACATAAATTTCTGGAAGCTCCATGCCAAGTTGCAAAATTCTGCATGGAGAAGAGGTGATTATTAAAAAAGAAAGAAAAAAAAGCAAAGAGAATGCCTGGCCAAACAATCATCAGTCTTTTTATTTCATTATGTAGCTTAGATGTGATTGCACTTCATAAAATAAAAGTCTTGAAAGATTAAAAAGCAATAACAGCAATGGTATGCAGTCATATCTTTGCTCAGAAGTCACAAACAGTAATAATTTTTCATTACTGTCATTTATAATGTATCTTGAATGTGATTTTTAGTGCTTGTCCATTTTAATAAGCATAGGTGTTGATTAGCCTTTATCTATTAAAAAGGAATCAATATTCACTACAGTTGTGAAAGAAGCCATTTCCATCATAAAGATGTGCGTTTTCTTCCTGTAAACATCTGAATGATTGTCTTATAATAACTGAATTATTTGTAAAAAGCAATACTTTGAACTAGCAAATTTGATGAAATAATTTGTTTCTAATCACTTTATAAATCAATCTGATGGGACTATATAATTAGAAAAAAATCATATTCAATGTGCGATATTCAATAGCTCAAGAAAAAAGTCAACATGTGTTTGAATAAACTCATTCTAATAAATAAAAGTGCCCAAAGAAGCCAGCAATCATGAACAGTTTTAAGATTCCTCTTAGCAAACGAAGAAGCTGAATTAAAGAAGGGGTTGAAGAGGTTGAATTAATAATCTCCAGTTGTAACTTGAAATGTCAGTCCAGTTTTAGAGAGACTAGTCATCCAAATACCTTCCTGAATCATGGAACATAAGATTATTTACTGATCAATCAACAGATAAGTTACTTTGATAAATTTTTGTCTTCATTATTTGATTACAACATATACATAATGTTTACTACAAAATACTTTCCTGCTGAAAAGAAAAGCAAGACTGATTAGACTCACCTTACATAAATGTTAAATTGTATTTGCTTAAGCATTCAGCAAGTAATTAGTATTTGTACATAAATGATTTTGCAACAAGTAGGAGTCCTGAGAGTTAGTGACTTCATTTTTATCCCATGTACAGCGGTATCACAATCTCACTTATTGATGGGGGAGTGGCAACAGGAAATTAGGCGGCTGCAGTACCAGATGAGCAGAGTTCCTAATCACATAGTTAGTCTTTACCATCTGATTAGTTCTGCTGACTGATGCTGACACTGCTTGCACAGTCAAAGTTAGCGGCTGTTTTAACAACAAGCTGTTCAACAGCTTGCTGAAATAGGGTCCTGAAGCTGTCGAAACCTGCATTTAAGTACGATTCAAAACACAGGCAATTGTTTCTGTACTAGTACATATATCTACATTATTTTGTTTAGATTTTTTTTTCCATTTGCATATCCTCCCATATAAAAATGCATATGGCAAGTTTCTAAGAACCTTTTCTGATCACGTGTCCTAGGTACACAAAGCTATAAATCTTCATGCTGCCAATAAAGAATGCAACAACCAAGCTGTGATTATTCTCCAGACCTGGTGAAAGAAACCTGCATCAGCGTGGAACTTCTAAACAGGGAAGCAGCCAAGCTTCATAAAGAAAATGTTGCTGTGTCTGGAAGCAGCAGTCCAGAAGATGTTTTCAGTCCCTGTGAAACGCAGGCAGTATCAGTTTGTATGGACACCACCATGCCTCCAGGTGACTACATTCGAAGACGAGGTTATACAGAGTCTTCACTCCTGAAGCTTCCCACAGAGGAGTGCATTGGGAGTCATCATGCACCTTTCCAGTTTGACCGGCATGCTTTGGCCAGAATTTCCACTTCTCCAACTTTAAGGCGTCTAAGGATGGCCTCTGCCTCACAAGCACTGTCATTTCAGGACTGCTCTGACACAGCTCAGTCGGGGAATCAAAAGGAATACGCTGGCTCTCTCCACCACATTTGTAAGAGTCCACCTCGGTGCACTACAGCTTCCTCATTGTCGTTGCCTTCTTGCGTCCATGCAAAATTACTGTCTTCCAAAGCCAAGTCTGAGACAACTAAAGCAGATCCAGAGTCTGCCAGCACCAGATCAAAGCTGCCAAGCCAAAAAGACACTCTCAGCAATGGCAGTCCCAATGAGACACTCCAAAACTCTTGGAGAGCCAACTTTGCTACGCTGCCGAGGAGACTCCTCCACCCCAGCCCTACACCACAGGAGGGTGTCCAGGTAAAAGGAATAGGATGATGTGACCTCCTTTTCAGTCTTGCATATTCAGTGTTGGTCCATCATGGCCCAGTGCACAAACAAAACCACAGTTCTTAACCTGAATTGCAACCTGGCCCTAGTTCCTTCGATACAACAGACCAACTTCTATTCTCATCAGGAAGGGAGATTTTTTTTTCCTTCCAAATCAGCAAGAGACAATGGTTCCAGCCTTGTCTCTTGGTGACCAGGTTGGCCTAGTCCACTCCTGCACATGGCCACTCTTTCCCACCTCTGTCCATTCACCCTGGTGGGCCAGTATAACTGTTTGTGGGGCTATGAAAGAACAAGACTAAGTGATTTATCCAGTTCTGATTTGGGTTTTAGAAGATTATTTTACTTCCAGGGTCCTTCAGCCAGGTTCTTCCTAAGCCAGGGTAGTTCTCTATTCTGTTTTACTGAATAGCGTTATTAACCCCAACAAAACCAAGAATGAAGTCATTCAAGATGGTTGAGCCAAATTTAAGGTTTGCTACTACCAAAGGAAGAGGTCCCATTCCCTTTCTTTACTTCCACTTACCTAGCTCTGCCACTCACTAGCCCCCTCCATTTTTATGTTCAGCTCCATAAATGAGCAGGCAATTGTGCAATCTTTTCTGAAAAAAGGAAACACTGGTCCAGTGAGTGCCAGCATCAGTAAAGAGAAATAAGCAAGGGACGAGCTAGCCCTCGTCTTTTCCTGGCGGCAGACTACCGTCCAGCTGTCCCCCATAACTTCACCCCAAGGAGAAAAGGACAGGCACTGCAAAAGCCAGGTTTGCTACTAGATCTACTCTCAAAGACCTTGCATCACTTGCACAAGCAGTTAAATTCAGACACGTGCTTGACTCCATCCTTACACAAAGCACCTACATGCACATTTCACTGAATGTGGATGGTGTCAAATAGGTGTATAGCTCTTTACTAACCAGTTAGTTTCATGCCACAGACCAAAAGCTATTTTTGTCCCCCTTCAAATGTAGGAAACATTCTGGATATCAGATGAGTTCTCCTCCTTCCTCCACAACAGTGAAAATAATTAGCCAATGTCTAAGTCTATGTAGTACATTTCTCTTAGCAAATGAGTACTTTTTTCACAAAATCAGAGTGCTTGCTTGCTTTCTGACCAAGTAACAAGAATATCTCACTTTCTTTCAGAGTGGATTGCCTATGCAAAGGTATGCAAGTATTTGTTTTATCTTATTCGAAGCTTCACTTCTGTACATTTTTAATGAATCCGCTTCACTCTAAGACAAAACTGAACAGCGAGGCATATATGTGTAACTCAACTTTAATTTGTAGATTTGCTTTGTGAAATGCCTGTCATCAGCTTGTTAAACTAAACTTTTTAATGAGATTTTCTTTCAAAGATAGCCCTCTCCCTGACACATTTAGCTATGTTTCACACAATATTTCAGCTGGACCATCAGAGAGCTCTGCACTAGGAACTAACTGCCAAAAGGTCTGGCTGTTTGGATTAGCAGTGTCAAATTTCAGCTTGAAGAATGTGAAACATCTCATAATCTTGAGCGACATTCTTCAAAACTTTGTGGGAGGGAAAAGGGAGCAAAGAAGCTAGCAGAACAGCTCGATATTGTTCTCATACACGAGCAAAGCAGATCTAGGACTGCTACTGGATGGGGGTGTTGTTAATCCTACAAACTAAGAATACTACTTGAATTTTATAAGTTAGTGCAGGCAAGATAAGGTGTTGTGTACCATAGATCTGTACAGCAAATTGCATCAAGCTCTTACAAGCAATTACCAGAAAGTAAAAGCTTGATTAGAAATGAGTTTGATTCAGCCATGTTTGTTTCCTTAAGATGTTCAAAAGTTTACAGAAGGGAAACAAAGTTTATTTTCTCCCCAAAAAACAAGGAAGTAGGAGCTAGTACCTCCCTTAATAACCATACCTCTCTCACTGATGGTGCAGTGCTCACTTTACTGCATGATCCCCTTGAAGATTTCAGGTGGGGCATGCAGGTGAGTGAGGTATATTAACAGCACTAGCACTGGTGAGCAAGGCTTGGGGAAGACAGAAATAGCCTCACAACAAACAGCAATACGCTGCTTTTGTGACTCTACCGTAATGTGTTTCACTTCTTAAGGCAGTAGACATCATTAATTGAGCTGTATCTCCTCTTCTTCCCAATGTTTACTCATTTTTCAGGTAAAAGCTCTGTTATAACCAGCAGTTTGCAAACAGGTCTGTGTTTGGGACTGGGTGTGTTGGAGCAGGCTGATACAGTTTATGAGTCATTACACAATGCAGTTCCCTAGACAAGGCTTAACAGATGTGTGTGTGCCTACATGTTCACTGTAGAAAAGGCTTCCTAGATTTTCTGAACTGTTGCAGTTTCCAGCCCACTCTTTAGCATTTTGAATTTACAGTAGAAGAAGGGAGAGGGAGATGGAGAGAGGAGAGAAGAGAGACATCTTTGTATCTTGGTATGAAAACAGGTGATCTGCACCTATTATGGGAAGAGTCTGCACTGATCCAACTCAAAACTATAATACGTAAGCATATCTCACTGACGGGGCAAAGATCTGTGTGATCTGTAGCAAACTTCAGGGGAGAATTTGAAGAATACTGAATGTAAATGGCTAAATGGGAGAACATTAAACATTTAATGTACACACCCTCTCTTGGTGCTACTTGCCTGGCAGCTTCGGAGGGAAGCCACTATATACCAGCTAAGATATAGGCTCTGGACTTCTATCCAGACACATTTTAAAATCAAGAAATCACACAGGGAACAACGCAAGCTTTGTTCCACAGACACCATCAGGAAAGATTGAGAAAAGGATGTTCGGATGATGTATTATGATTTTATTTCTTGTCCTGACCGATATTAGAATGTGCAGAAATGTAAAACAAAAATCACCAGTTTCTGCTTTAAAGTTTTTTGTCAGGTTGAATTTGGTCCAAGGGCTGGACAAGGGCTGTATTCAGCTCCTCCTTTATCCAAATCATTAGTCTAACTCCTTAACAGCTAATGCCTTCTTATCACAGCCAGAGAAAACTGCTGAAATGTCAGATTATTCTCTCCATCTAGAAGCGCATTGGGACAGTTGGCAACCCTCCTCCAAGACTGATTTATATATCATCCAGGGTAAAAACGTACCTCCATCCTTCAGTTTTAATGAACATCTCTTCTACCTGCTCCCAGGCTGTACTTTCAAAAGCATTTCTTAAAGCAGCAATGCTCATTTTAAACAGCCTTCCCCAACACAGCCTTCAGTCAGGAATACCAGTACATATCTGTTGGCATGGCAACGTGCTGAACTGATGCTGATTAAAAATAATCAGCCAAAATAAATAAACAAAAAGGGGGCAGCAGAGAGAGCAGTGTGTGGTGGAGACAGGGCAAGATGCACTGCCATGGAAGGAAATGTTGATAAAACAAAACCTTTCATTTACTCTGAGCTCATTTTCTGCTTGCCCTGTTCAGCATATCAGAGACTGGGTGCAAAACTGGATTGCACTATTTCCTAAAGACAACCAGCTAATGAGAAGTCTTCTCAGTAACTGCTAAGGCAGCTCATTTTCAATGAGTTGAGGGAGCTGGGCTCATCTATCTTGAAGTGCTCCTCTTCCTCTTTTAATGTCTCATATGCCTGTAAAGTGTCATCCTAACTCTTTGAATCAGGGAGTCCAAATACCCTCCCTGAGTGGCTTGGGTAACAGTGTCACCACCTGGCAGCTATCTCAGTACTGTGACCACCCTATAATGTTCAACCCTTGTAACCTCTTCAGTTGCTTTTATTCTCATCTAGTAGGCATTCCTTTAAATAACAAATCTATTATTTAAGTAAGGTGATTTATATATACGTTTATTCCCTGGGACATCTAAAGGTCTAGTTAGGCTACGATTATGAACATATCAAGATACAGACATCTGAAAAGCAATCAGCTGAAACTCTCCATGCCCTAGAAACAACTGTTTACCCAGGATATTTGTTTTTCGAGACCATGAGCTGCTTCAGTGTTTTAATAATTTTCCATAACTTTGTAATGCAAACCTGTGACATTCTCTTGTTTCATGAAACAGGTAGATTTAAAGGAGGAGCTATTGCAGATGATATCTCCTCAGGTGCTTGAGTTGATCCCTAAAGTACAAACGTTTCTTTCACTCAAGCACTTCAGGCCCCTGCCTCTAATAAGAAAAACAAAAAACTAAAGAAAAAGGCAAAGCTACAGGGTCTGCAGGCATGAAAAGATGGTAAAATATTGCATACAGACTGAAAAATTGATAAATTGCATCATACGGCACTTCAGTAGTTTCATGTCTCCAGTAAAACCAACAAGAGCATCTAATGTATCTAATATGTCTACAGGCATCAGGCCAGATGATCACAGATACTTGTACCGTCATCTGTGAAGCATGAGTACATAATTTAGGCATGTAAGTCATTAATCAGACCATGCATGTCAGATTGCAAAGGTATATTGTAGATACACATCCAAGTGACCTTGGCATGCTCCCAGACTTCACAGGCTTGCATACCTATGTGAAGAGCTTGTTTAGACATATGTGTCTCTGAAGTTCAAGGCCTTTTTGATCTAGGGAAATAACACCGTTTAACTCAGTTACAATGAAACTGTGCTTCCCATTGCTAATCTTCATAAGCGACTAGCCTCCAACTTCAAAATATATTCTGCAATTGAAGTAGCCTAGATACTTTAAAAATCAATAATACATTGGCAAAATTTTATTGTGAATCCAACCCGAAATAAATCTCCTGAATTTCCCAGTACAAGATTGACAACTTTTAGAATTATCTTTGTATTGTATTGCAGCAACTGGCTTGTATAATAATCCAGCTGCCCAAGAGATTGCATGGTGGAATCACTAGAGGTTTCAGAAGCATCTTAATACAATTGTTGCCAACACATAAAATTTGCACTGGGTAGCACTCAGCGCGCCTCATCAGTGCGCGGTCTCCCTTGCACTAGTACGGGCTCGCAGACAACCAAGAAACAG